GTCTTTAAGAGTTTAGATATAGAGTGTGGCTCATGCCAGAGGAATGAAGGGCATCACAAGCTGCTGCTTGGACTTAAGAGTGTGTGTGAGTGAGACAGACAGACAGACAGACAGAGGGTCTGTGAGGATATCACTCAGACTCAGTGGTATATCTCTATGGTCATACTCCCCGCAATCTTTATAATGAGCACCTTCCTTTCCCACCATTTAATCACTTATTTTCTGGAGTATGATGTTTGTATTTTGTAGCCATGCACAGATATGTTCAGTGACATTATACCTGCAAAATGGTGCAAAATAATGGCATTTCACTGTATTCATAGTCATTTTTGTTATGTCTCTGCCTACAGTATCTGATCTTGTTGCTCTGTATTTTCCTTCTGGAAATCATTGCTGGTGTTCTGGCATACATTAACTACCAAGAGGTGAGGTGCCATACTTTCTATTTGTATCTGTTTGTATATAGAGACAAAAGTAAATAGTGACATACAGTTTATTTTGCTATAACTTGCACAGCTTCCAGTACTTTTTATGGTTATATCTATTCATCATTTAAATTTCACCCCAGAAATTACAAATGTCTTTTTTTTTTGTCTTTCTGCTTGCATTATGTGTATTTTATTAATTCTACTTTCCTTTCAAGTATTTCTCCTAGCTTTGCATCATTTTAATGTCAAATCTAACAACCACTCAGTTGCTGCACTCCTTTGTGAAGTGTGTTTTACATGCTTTTCTGTGCATGTTCATTTGTCCATTTTTCCCCCATCCTTCTCACGCCTCTCTTTCTTCCCCCTTTTTTCTTGCTCTAGTGTTTCCCTTTCTGCTACCAGGTAATCTACTGCAGTGTGTTTCTCCTTTATATCAGTCTGTTTTAGTTCTGACAGGTTGAGGTTATTTTTATTTGCAAGAGTCTTCATTAGAATCAGGGAGTGAGGTCATAGAATCTGTGCTCATATATTTTGAGTTATCTGTGGGTATTGCTCAGGTAGACAGGAATGTTACGGGGGAAGGAGGAAACTTGATCAGGAGCTATTTTTGTTGATGGGAGGTACTAAAGAGCTTCTCCTGTCTCACAGCTGGATGAAGAGCTCAAACAGAACCTGAAAGTGACCATGCAGCAGAAATACCAGCAGCCAGGAGAGGAGAGCATCACACAGGCTGTGGACAAACTACATCAGGAGGTGTGGAAAAGGAGAATTTGTTTCAGAAAAAGGCTCGAATAAAAAATGAGTAACATCAGTAAGACTGGACATGATTAATAATGAAATTCTGTGTTAACTGCAATTTTCTCATTATTTTCCCTCTCAGTTTAAGTGTTGTGGTAGCCACAACTTCTCAGACTGGAGCGACAGTGTGTGGATCCAGGCAGCAGAGAACGAGCGTCTTGTTCCCGATAGCTGCTGTAAAACTCCAGGTGAACTCTGCGGCCGCAGGGACCATCCCTCCAACATCTACAGAGTGGAGGTAAAAACGAGAAAGCTCTCCATCGACGCAGCGTGGCTAAATTTCACATGATAACAAGATATTATTATTTATTCTTTTTTTTCTCCCCTGTTCTTGTGCTCTCAGGGAGGCTGCATCATGAAGTTAGAGGAATTCCTCTTGAGTCAGTTATATATTCTCGGTGCAGTTGGTATAGGGATTGCATTTCTACAGGTGAAAGCTTTTACTGCTGAGCAAAACGGAGATAAATATGAACATCTATTTTAATGGAGTCTGGAAATAATGAGGTCTTTGTGTCTGTTTTGTTTCAGCTTCTGGGGATGATGTTTACATGCTGCCTTTACCGGAATTTGAAAGAAGATCCATACTAATTTTGTACTTCCCCCCTCCCCATCCATCTATTCATTTTCTTCCAATTGTCCAATTCATGACCGTGGGGATGGGTGCTGGAGCTTATCCTAGCAGTCATATGGCGAGAGGGAGGGTACACCATTGGACAGGTCACCAATCTGTCACAGGGCTAATACATGAGGACAGACAACCATTCACACCAACAGAATTTAGAATCACCAATTAACCCAACCTTGTGCACACTGTCGGTGGAAGTTGGAGTACCTGCAGAGAACATGCAAACTCCACACAGAAAGGCCCCAGGTTGGATTTGCACCCAGAATCTTCTTGCTATGATAATGCTAACCACCACACCACTGTGACACCCTTGTAGGGATCACTGAAGTTTTTTTAAACATCACAAAATTTAACACAACTTCTAAAATGTTTTCCAAATTATTATAACCCCACCACCCCAAAAAAGTATTTTTTCCCACAGTCCTACGATGCTGCATAGTTACTTCAAACACTGCGATGCTGCTGGACAGCACTGCTCATTTGTTCTCGCAAAAACAGCTTTGCATGTGTTTATGTATTCTTTAATTTAGGTCACAAAGGATTTTTAACTCTTTAAAATGAGTGGTGTATATTTAAAAAGCAGAGCAATATGAGCATGTTGTGGCCGCTTCTCTGTTTGTCTTTTTAATTGCTTTTTTATGTATAGTCATTACAAATGTGTATTTAAAAAACTAATATAAAGAACTATTTTTCTTTGTTGGATGCAAATAAAAGATACTTCCTTATAATTTCCACCCAAATTCTCAGATAATTTCTCCGACTGAACTTTTATTTTGAAACTTATAAGCGGATGTTGTTGTCAGCTGACTGTACACCCTCCTCGCGTATTTCTTTTGCATCGTCTCACCCTCAAGGTTTTTCTTTATAATTTAAAGCAAATACTATTAAAATGTCAGCGAAACCAACGTGTTTGATAGTGGCGAGTGCTTCTTCTCAAGGTGAGCCCGTTAGCTTTACTTTGAACAGCTCGGCTGTTCTCAATCATTCATGAATTTGTCCGTTAGCTTTGACTTACTTAGAGCTGCAGAACTAGCATGAGCTCTCTAAAGCGTTTTATCTCACACATTTTGTTTATTCAGGGGTGTCTGCGAAATCTTTCCATCAGTCCTTCAGCCTTTGTAGTCCGGTCTTTAACCTACAGACAGCCACACCAGGGGTAAGACTCCACCTGACAAGCAAATAGCAGATACACGAACAGCTGTCGTGACCTAAGCGCGTTAGTCCGTACTTACGTAGACAGTCTCCATGACAACTGCGCAGATTAAAAAAAAAAAAAAAAAAAATCAAAGGAGAAATTTAAATAAATAAATAAACACGTCTTTTCTTTTTTTTACTTTTTCTTTTCGTTTGTTTGTTTTTAAATATGGTGGTAAAGAAAAAAAATTCCACGATATTTTCTTTGGGGGGTACCTTATTTTGGGGAAATTCAGCAATCTCTTTATCACTAAACTTTTGTGGTGATTCCTTGTATGCGGTTTTTATGTCCTGGTGAGTACTGAAATTAAAGTTCATTCAAATAACTTTGAAATAGGTGCATGTAGAATAGATAGTTACCAAAAGGACCACAGAGTGGTGCTTCTAGTCAGTGGAGTGTTGCTAAAATTAGAAAGTGATGTATCTTGTAGGATTAAAAAAAAAAAAAAAAAAAAAAAAAAAGACCAGCGGTATAATCAAGGGTGATGAATGAAAGAAGAAAAAGAAACTCCAGGACAAACAAGTACCTCGTTTCACTGTGACACCCATTGTCCCTGTGCAACAGTAGCATCACATTTATACAAATATATGGGTGTTACTAAAAAAAAAAAAGTGTTTTTTCCTGAAATCCAAGTTTGTTATAAAATTGCAGCTACATTGCCAATCGCAAAATCCATTTTTTTTCTCCTACTGGTAGCTCATCCTGGTAGGGCAGGTAAAATGATCAGAACCCTGAGTTTAAAATATTTATCAACCACCAGTTTCAAGAATTTAAATATTATCGCAACAAAGATACATTATTAGATCCATGTTTGTAGAGATGGACTTACACACCCGAAAAAAAAGTTGTCTTTTATACCCTGCTTTCACCCTACTACTACATCTGAAAGGTCACGGACATGCGCTTTAAGATGCAACCCAGTTCTTGGAAATAGTTCTTGTCCACTTTGTGATCATTACCCTGGGTGTGTGATGTTACCCTGTACAGAAGTGTTTCTGTGGTTGCAGGGGAAGCCAATAGACTTTGTTGGGGTTGATGAAAGCACAGCTAGATGGGTGCAGGACTTCAGTGTGAAACCCTACGCAACACCAGCCAAACTTGAATCCATAGATGGTGAGAATATTTATTTCATGCCCATTCGGCCGTTTTCATGTCTGCTGCTTTAACTACTATCTGCTCACTTGTGTCACGATGACCCCTTTTAAGGTGCCCGATACCAGGCACTGCTCATCCCACACTGCCCTGGAGCGCTGAATGACCTGGCACACAGCGGCTCTCTGCACCGCATTCTCGCGCACTTCATCTCTCAACAAAGTGAGCTTGGGGCTTGTTTTAACATCTGTATGTATTTTTCTTGTTGTTTTTTTAGGAACACATGTACATGTGGTTTGCTTGGTTTTTTTCCCCTCTGTGCAGAGCCGGTGTGTGCAGTGGGACAGGGAGTGTCTGCACTGTGTTGTGCCACTGAAGGACAGAGGTGGATTTTCAGTGGCTACAGCTTAACAGGGGTTAGTGTTTGGTGAACTCACTAGGGGAAATATAACCCATATATTTGTTCAGCTATCACATGTTTGCTGTATTTAGTAACACCAACTTGTTGATCTTAATAGCCTTCAGTGTTTGAACTGGTGCGGGAACCTGATTTTGCCAACCTGCCCTTGATTGTAGAAGACTTCGTGAAAGACAGCGGTGGATCGTACACAGGTGAGCTTACCCTGCTAATAACAGAAGAGTCAAATACCAAATAATTATTTCTAAAACAGTCTGATGTTCGTCTCTGTGGGTTTTTGTTTTTTTTTTTTGCAGCAAGTCAAGAAGATGCCATGCATGTGGTCGTAGACAGGCACCTCATAACTGGACAGAACATGCAATCAACCTTGCTCGCTGTAAATAATCTAATCCTGCTCTGTAATGCCAAATAAAAACCTGAAATAATACACGAGGAATGCTCCGATTCGACAGCTTTGTCGTCCCACTTTTATATTCATGTAATTAAACATTTATTTTGAACAAGTATCAGAAAAATGCTGGGTCAGAAAGAGATGTTTGGCAAAACTGCAACATACCACTTGGTTATTTGTTGATGCTGTTATTATAAACCGAGTAAAAGCAACAGGATTGTGTAGATTCAAACATAATAAAAAATAAAGCATCAGGAGCAGATGTATTGTTGCTGATGGATGAATCTTTTTAAGAGCACAGATGATTTTAGGCGTTGGACTGAAGCGATGCTGCAGATGTCTGAAGGCCTCCAAATATAAATAAACCCTTAATTAAAATGGATACATACTGATAATCATGCAGCTTATTTTGTTGAATGCAGAGATGTACTAATCTGTACTTTTTTTCTTTCTTTTTTTAAATCGTATCATCACAGAAAATAAATAAAATACACTGAAGTACCTTTTTTTGTTGGTTGCAGATGCCTAAAAATAAACCGCCGTGTCATTCAAGAGCTCGATACATTCACGACCCTCAAACAAGTTGAGCGTTAATTAAACCCCGTCAGTGGCTCACTGCAGATGTCGAGATAGGAAAAAAAACAAAACGGCACTGACTTCAATGACAAAAAATATAGATATATTGTGTCAATCCGAGATTCACAGTGTTCGCCAACAAGTCCAACTCTTATAGCAGATCATAGAAATAATCCAGTCCTTGTCCCAATTCCCACAAGGAAATTCCTGTTCCCAGTTCAGCAGCTAAAGAAATCCTCAGGTCGATTGACTGTAAAACAGTTGAAATAATATTAATCACTCATTGATGATTAATACTCCTATTCTTTTAATTGCAGAAGTGAACAGTTTTACCTTCAGTGAAGGGTAGTACACCACATGCTTAACTGCATTGTTCCTAAAATAAAAGGCAAAGGACAGGATATTTAATCAAGAAAAGCTCTCGGGACATTTAAATAACCTCGAAATATTGTTTAAACCCTGATGTTTTATTAAATTAATACCTCTTGTAAGTGAAGTAATGCTCTGCAGAGTATTCATCCCAGAGAACCTTTGGCCTGTGTTCTCGCAAGATCTCGATGTACCTGCAGGAAACCACAGACGAGTGCGGTAAGAGGCTTCAAGTCCATGTCAAAGTTCTCAATCGACTCTTTACTCCAACTTATCGCCATTTTTTACTATAAATAAAAAGCTCATGCTACTTGCAGTCAGAAAATTACGTTTAGTACTGTGAAAAAGTCCTGAGCCACCCTGTAATTCTTTTTATTTTGCTAAAAGAAAGGGAACCAATTTTTTTTTTTTTTTTTTTTTTTTTTTTTAAATCCATGCAAACATACGTGGAATTACCAGAGTTTCTACAATTCTAATGAGCTTGAAAGTCAACACAGTCTGAATGCTATGCAGTAAATGTTTAAGGATGCTGCACACCTTGTCGAGGTATGCTATGTTTACTCTTTGAGAATCACCTTTTTACTGCAAAAATATGATTTTGTGTCAAACTCCAAAACTGGTTCTTTGCCAAGTCATCTACTATGTGCAGACACAACACTAGTGCGTCCTTCGAGTTAGGTACCTTTTTTTATGCTGAGTGATTTATAGATCAGGGTTAAGTGGTTTAACAAAAAAACTGTAATGGAAATGGTCAGGACTGGACTGAAAATGTGTGAAAAAGCAGGAAAAGACTTTTTCAGATCAGCCCAAATATCAAAGAGAAATTAAAAATGCATGCCGTGGAAGAGTTCGGGTCTTAGGAGGTTAAAGTATTGCAGCAATAGCTAGAGTTTCAGCTCACCTTGTTCCCAGGACTGGCTCTGTTCCCTGGCTTGCAAAATCAAGGCCGTACAGATTGAGTCCAAGCAGAATCTTCTCCCTCCACTGAGAGTTTGGTGCAAGCTGGAGGACACAGTCTCTGACCCAGGGCAGCGGAGAGCTAGGGCCCGGCCTATAACAACAACAGCACACAACTCAGAAAACTGGATTAACGCCAGTTTGAATCCTCTTGTTGCATCACCTGTGCCATGTACTCACCTGGCACCACTGGAATAGTCATATGTCATGAGACTGAATCCATCGACGACTGGGGCCAACTGCTCAAACTCCTCCCTGCCAAACATACCCGGCTGCCCTGTGCTGATAATTCACAGGAAAAACAAATCTAAACCAATCACACTGATTGTTTTTGTTGTTTGTTTGTTTTTTTAGCATTTATAGCTGCTGAATGCAAAATAAATGAATTCACCTTGTTACTGCTGGTGGAATAACAAGAATGCAGTCTAATCTTTTAGCTTTCAAAGTCTCGCATATGTGTTTCACCAAATGGACCAGTTCCCTGTGTGGGTAGATCAGAAATGCTTGATTATTGATTAACCTCAGACAAAGCAAAACTTGTGATCGGGGCTTGCAACAGAATCACTCACTTTCTTTTGTTACCTCCCAGCTGACTCCACAACTCCAAGGTGAAGCCATCGAAACCTTCAGTCTGCAAAACCACGGTTTTTACGTTAATCAGTCACCGAATAAACCAAAAACAAGGTTTTATTGGAATTAAAGACACAAACACTACTTATTTACTTTTGCAACATCCACCAGCTCAGTTCCCAACTCGTCAATTTCATCCTCACTTCCAAATACTGCCATGTAGTCCTGGTAGGACCAGCCATCAAATAAGAGCCGAGGCACTGATGGTTAAAAAAGAAAATGAACTAATCTGAATCCACACAATCAGACTTGAGTACCTGTGGGCAGTAAAGTTGGCATTCACTCACCAATCCTGACTTTTTTGTTAGACTTGCGTACAGCTTTGACCCAGCCTGAAAAGATCAAAAGACGCTCTTTTACCTCATGTTCATCCGTGACTTATTAATCAGTGATAAAGTTAAGGAAAAAAGTGGATCATCTGCCTGGATCGTGATCGTGGAGTCCCGTAACGTCAAAGGTTTCAGGTCCTCGTCTGCGCAGCTGAAGCCACACCGGTGACACCGAAGTTAGCTTGGACCCAAACATCTTGGCAACGTCATAGCCGTGGGAATTCCACTGCAGGATGAGAAAAATAAGTTGTGTCTTTGACTGTGCTAAAACGTACATATGAAACCCTAAAGGGCAGGTTTTTAATTTTCTTACATGACCATAAGCATATTAAATTAAAGTGTTACCAGTGTCATAGATGAGGGGGGATTGGATAGATTTTTTGGTGACAGCTAATAAAGATTAAGAAATTAGAATGTGATTATCAAACCAGTTAATGATTCATTATCTATCAACTGATAAATCTACTCACTGGAGTCCACATGGCTATGGTCTGTCCCATCACTTACACACTATTGTCAAACGTTTAAATTCAGCAGGAGAACAAGGAGATATAATTGTGACTGGATTTCAGACTTACGGGTGTCACATATCCAAGCACTGGTCCTTGAAACGTTTTCTTGATGTGTGCACAGTATCTCTTTTCCTCCTTCGCTATGTCTTTCCAGTGCGGGTCTGACACAACAAGGTTTCTCTCCAGTACAGATAATTCTGCTGGAGATGTCTAAACAAGTGAGATCAAAGAGAAAAGAGCCCGTTTCAGTAACAGATAACCACGACAGGACGGAGACAGAAGACCAAGGACATTTTAGGCAAACGCGTTCAGACCTGTTTGACCTGACAGCACAGAACAGCTCGAACCAGTTTAAAGATTAAGACCTGAAGTTACTCACCTCAGCTTCAGCTTTGTGCGACTTCTTTGCATCGGTTTTTGAAAGTGTGGCACTGACCAGCCAGCAGCTTGAGACGATATGAAGGAAGACCAACGAGGCTCTCATTTCCAAAAAGCCAATTTAAAAAACACAGAGCAGTTAAATATAAGATTGGCTAGCTGAGGTCTGCAGATTTGCAGTGCAAGTGTTTCCTTCCTTTACTGGGATGTGTGAGATTAGAAACCACCATATCCTCCCGCGGCCTAAAATCAAGCAGAGCAGTAACCCAAAGCGGCCCGGCTCGTCCTGCTAAAACATACTACCCTAAATAACCATAAACAGACTGAAAGCTTTTGATGTCAGGCGGTTGGTGTCTGTTTGACTGACAACTTATCTCAATGTGCTTCTGAAGCGTCAGCCTCGCCAGGAAACTTCCGGGGTTTGCATTTTTCAAAATAAAAGGTGCGTGTTTGTGACATCCGAGCCTATAGGTGGCAGTGTGCCGAATTTGTCAACCAGTAAAACACAAACAAGGAAGAGAACAGGAACCAAACAAATCCACCTGAGTAATGATAGAGAGGGTGTTACATTTCCAAGTTATTTAGCATGATTAACTAACGTTAAATTTGGCTTTTCCGTCTTTAGGTTTCAGGCGCTAACAGGTGAGTGCAGTTCTCGCTTGCTAACTGCTCGTAAAGTAAAATGACCGTGGCTGTGATGTTAGCATTTAGCTTTAACATGTTTGTGCGTTGAAACGATTTACCTATACCCTGCTTCTTTTTTAAGGGTTACTTTCATCTATAATAACTAAGTGTGGGTCCTAGTGCTTTTTATTTTACAGCTTTTTTTTTTAAATTTTACAGTTTTTCCTTTGTTGTTTTTGTCGTTTTCCCCAAATTAAAAATAAAATAAATACAGTAGTGGGTGTACAGGCTAGTAGATTCAGTTTCGGACGAATTATTTAGGAGGAGAAGTACAGAAAAAGGACAAAAATATTTAAATATGGTTAAGACCAATTTAACCTGTGTCGTAATAATAATAATAATAATAATAATAATAATAATAATAATACATTTTATTTGAAAGCGCCTTCCAGAACACTCAAGGACACTGTACACAGCAGAACACTAAAAGCAAGCAGTTTACACAATCATAAAAGCACAAGACATAAAACAAATTTAAAATAGCAGAGTGGAGAGGTCATGTGGGATAAGCTATTTTGAACAAGTGAGTTTTGAGTTGGGACTTAAAGAGAGAGAAGGAAGTGATATTTCTTAAATCAGGAGGTAGGGAATTCCAGAGTCGAGGAGCAGAGCAAGCCCTGCTCCCCATGGTGGCAAGACTGGGAGAGGGGACAGAGAAAGAGAAGAAGATCTAAGACACAGAGATGGGGTGGTGATCTGAACCAGATCAGAGAGATATGCAGGAGAGAGATGATGAATAGCCATAGATGTGTACAAGAGTATTTTGAAATTGATACGATATTTGACTGGGAGCCAATGAAGCTGCTGCAGCTTAGTAGTAGTATGATCATGAATAACTATTATTGCTTTGAATATTTTGTTTGTTATTTGTTTGAGTTTTTTTGTAGAACATTAAATCATTTTTTTGTAACCCAGAGAAAAGGTGTATAGAAATAAAACTGTAAAAAAGTTAAACAGAAGGTAGAAGAAGCATGAACGTTGGAAGCAAAACTATACTTTAGTATTAAAGTGGATGAAATGTCAATTTAACTAATCCATAAATCACAAAATTAAGATTATTTATCAATCTTTGCACATTATAAATATTATAGCATGTAGAGATGTTTTTCTAAAAATCAGATGATGTGCTAGAAACATCTTGTTCTGTTACCATTTCAGTGAGTAATGGCCTTGGAAAAGTTTGTGTCAAAGACACTCGAGCTTCTGCAGGAGGAGCGGGAGGCTGAGATAGAGGAGACCAGGTATGTAATGTCACATCTGCACTGTCAAACGGTCACACTGCAGAATTTAGTTTGCTGAACTGTGCGACATAAAGATGTTTTTATTATTTGTATTTAAATTGTTTTCAGAGAGATTAAGGTGTGGTTTTAAAAAATGGATTTGTTTCTAAACACAGAGATTTCTCCTGAAAATAATCTAAAACCAAATGTTGTTATCAACAGTTGTCACTCGTGATTTCCCTTTTTTGTGCCCTCAGGGTATGGCAGGAGAACATTTCTCTCAAGGATCTTCAAAACAAAGGTGTTTGCCTGCTGAAACTGCAGATAGGAAGTCAGTCCACAGGCCTCTACGGCCGCACAGTCGTCATCTTGGAGCCAAGAAAGCATCTTGGGTTCTCATCTCTGCCAAGCAACAGCTTCGGACCTGGTGAGATTGACGTCTGTTTTTACTTTATGAGGCAGAGTGTTCAGCTTTGAGGCCCTTTTCCTTTTATGATGAGGCTTAAAATTTTCTTTTTTGATAAAGCTTATAGTTAAGGCTGGATCAGGTGACCATGAATCCTCACTTAGTTATCCTGTAACAAGACTAGGCTCTCTTCAACACCAACAAGTCGCAGCAGATGGCTGCCCCTTCCTGAGCCTGGTTCTGTCAGAGGTGTCTTCCTATTAAAAGCTTTGCTTTCCCACTTTTGTCAAGTGCTTGCTCATAGGGGGTTGTCTCTCCATTATTATAGAGATTTACCTCACAATATAAAGCACCTTTAGAAATGGTTGTTCTGATTTGCACTATATAAATAAAATGTAATTAAATTATGTTTATATTACAGTGAGGTATGTGTCTGTCTTTGCAGGTGATATAGTTGGCTTGTATGACACTACTGGATGCACTGCAGCCTCACAGATCAGTACTGGGATTGTGACAAGGGTCGGCCAAGCATCTGTAAGTGTGGCCTTTGATGATTTAAAGGATGGCCACAGTTTAGATTCAGATGCACTTTACAACCTTTTAAAGTTGGCAAACGACGTCACTTACAAACGAATGAAACGGTGAGGAATATCTGTAACCAAAAATACCTCGGTGCATGTGAATCAGTACACTTTTGAAACTTAACCCATGGGGTTTCTGCTTGCAGTGCTTTGAATACATTAAATGGATACAACAATGGACCAGCTTCCAATTTAATAAGTGTCCTCTTTGGAGACACAAAACCTACTTCTCAGTCACAACCAAGTGAGTAAATATTAGCTCCTGTTTTAATTAAAAGATTGTTTAGAAATCTAAGTTTCCATATGCATATATAACATTCAGCGCATTGGTGTTTGCCTCTGTTTTATTTCATCAGATAAGGTTGAATTCTTTAACTCAAACTTGGATGACTCCCAAAGAGAAGCTGTATCCTTCGCTCTGTCACAGAGAGAGCTTGCAGTGATTCATGGGCCTCCGGGCACTGGGAAGACCACCACTGTGGTGGAAATCATCCTGCAAGCTGTCAAACAGGGGCAAAAGGTGCAAAAATGTGAATTTGTTAGTAGAGCTGGGCGATATATCGAGTTTTTAAAACATATCGATATATTTTTATACGAGATATAAGATGTGACAATATCCTTTATATCGATATAGTCTATGTTACGTTATAATTATAGTTGTGGAGCCGCAAGTTTGCCTCTCTTTCGTCCACTTTTGTCTCTACGCAACGTTACTCCGCCTCGCCTTCACTGAAGACAACTCCCCCTCCTACCCCATCGCTTCACGTGCAGGCAGCGACAAGACGGACACGGCAAATCTCCGTTAACGAGTTACTGCGCATCGCCCCATGCGTGGGGCTGGACGGCGTCAACGTGCTAACGAGCTAACCGCGCTAACGAGCTAACCGCGCTAACCCTAAAATCCTTTCATTCTCTCAAAAGTTGATAGCGCGCCTTATGTATGAATTCTGGTTGTGCTTGGTGGCCACGAACCGATTTTATGTGGTACACGGCGTTCAGCAATCTGTCAAAAATGTTTGAGTACGACTTTGGTAAGCTACGGAGCTGCACCGCTTGATAGATTGTCGGCGCATTACGGCTACCGAGGAGCTTCGCGGAGTGATACGTACTGTGCATCAACGTAATATTACCGTATTGTGTGTGTATAAGGACCATAAATGGCACCTGTAAGAGACGTGGTTATGAAGCGGATTTCAAACTCCAGGCTATCAGTCACACAGTAAAACTTGGGAACAGAGCAGCTGTAAAATCTGTCTGTCTTTGTTATTACGCTCAGCGTCTTTTAGTTTACATTTTGACTGCACAATTGTGAGCTCTTTGTTTAGCACAAAAACAACCTTGTTTTCTTTTATTTATGGAGCATTATTATTTAATGAATGCTCATAATTTAATTTTGAGTAATTTTTCATGTACATCTGTGCTGTATGTTAATAAAAGTGCCTGTGTGACATCTGGGACACAGCTTTGACTAAGAACTCTTTTTGTTCTTACTTTATGGCTTAAAAAAAATATCGAGATATATATCTTATATCGCCATCCAGCTAAAAAATATCGAGATATGAATTTTGGGTCATATCGCCCAGCCCTATTTGTTAGTGTATAAAGAAGAATGTTATCAATGCCACAACTCTAGTCTAGACAGGATCACTTTGGCTCTTGTGACTGTGCAGATCCTGTGCTGTGCTCCTTCAAATGTGGCGGTGGATAATTTAGTGGAGAGGTTAGCCCAGGGCAAAGCCAAGGTCCTGAGGCTGGGTCACCCAGCCAGGCTACTGGAGTCCATACAGAAACATTCACTGGATGCCATCCTGGCTCAGAGTGACAACGCAAACATCATCGCTGAGATCCGGAAGGACATTGATAAAGCATTTGTGAGTATTATAGTGTGGTGTCCCGCTAACATGTCATTTTAGTGCCGTCTCAAATGATTTGTGATGTTGTGATTGTTCCAAGACGGGAATGAAAAAGGAGAAAGGAGAACGGGGGAACATGAAACGAGAAATAGGAGAGCTGAGAAAAGAGCTGAAAAGCAGAGAGGCAGCAGCCATCGCCCAGATCCTTAAAAGTGCTGACGTTGTGTTATCAACCAACACAGGTGAGTAATGGCCCGATGACAGTGTCATTCAGATGCTGGAGTAATGATGAAAGGTAATCGGAGAGCGCTTGTCTGCGTGTGTGCAGGTGCCTGCGATGACGGGCCTCTGAAGTTCCTGCCAGCTGAACATTTTGACTGGGTGGTGATAGACGAGTGTGCTCAGGCACTGGAGAGCAGCTGCTGGATCGCCCTGCTTAGAGCGCGCAAGTGCATCCTGGCTGGAGACTACAAGCAGTTACCACCTACCATTAAATCACAAATGTAAAAAATTCAAGTTTGGGTTTTTTATGCATTCATAATATTCAGCATTTGATATCTATACCGTTGTGACTTTTTTTCCTCAAGTCCCAGAAGTTTTTAACCTTAAAATACACGATGTAGCATTTATCTGTTGCCAGTATGTAAATGAATTGTAACATAACCTGAACAATGAGACATTCACCGCCTGCTTTTATTAAGCCTCTGGAGTTAAAAGTGGAGGACAAAATCCAAAGGATGTCACTAGAAATAGTTTTTAGAATTTTAATTTTTCCTTTAAAAAGCACTTTTGACACATTTTCTGAAGCATTCAGATTTCTGATTATTAAAAACAACAAGCTTGGTTAAAGGATAGGTTTCATAGTTTTCCAGTCTGTTGCTTTTTAAAACACCGAAACAGGTTTTTCTAGCTCTAATCAGCTCTTCTGTGTGTACTGGTGGTTCAGAGATCTCATCCTAATGCACTTTTAATCCCAGTATCAAATCAGTTATAGAAAGAAGTCATCGATGCTCCATCCATTTTTTTCCACTTTTCCAATTCAGGGTTGTGCAGGGCGGTAACCTATTCCAGTTGTCACAGGGCGAGAGGCAGGGTACAGCAGGGATCTCTCCTGGTATTCTGGCTTTCTCCCACAGTCCAAAGATGTGCAGTTAGTGGGGTTGGGTTAAATGTGTATTCTAAATTGGCCGTTGATGTGAATGCGAATGAGGCTGGTTTTCAGAAATTAAAATGTAAATCTCTAAAATTTTTATGTTGTTCTGTTGCATACAGGGCTGCATCAAAAGGCTTATCTCTGAGTCTTATGGAGAGACTTATCCAGATGTACGGGGACTCGGTGGTTCGTATGCTGACAGTTCAGTACCGCATGAACAGTGCCATTATGCAGTGGGCCTCCAAGGAGATGTACCATGGAAGACTGACCGCTCACAGCTCTGTGGAGGGACATTTACTGAAGTGAGACTCAATGTACTATTTTAAAGCATCTCATATTTGAGTTCTGGTGACGGATGAATCTTTGGATTCATTTAAAAATGTCGCTCAAAACAGAGATCTAGCAGGAGTCGCATGCGTTGAAGAGACCAGCACGCCGCTGCTTCTTATTGACACAGCAGGGTGTGGTCTGAGTGAAATGGAGGTCGCAGATGAGCAGTCCAAAGGCAACACAGGTTATTCTTTTTTAATTTTAGCTTGTAAACAAGCCATCTATGTTTACTGCTTGTGTGGTATGACAGTTTAACAGCGTGTGATGTGTTTCCTCAGGTGAGGTCGACATCGTCGATCTGCACATAAAAGCTCTGACTGAAGCTGGAGTTAAAGCTAAAGACATAGCTGTTATTGCTCCATACAATCTACAAGTAAGTCACAGAAATGAGACTGGCAGCACTGAAAGTAACTGATTGGTTTCAAAATTCCAGGGAGAATTATTAAAAAATTTTTCCTGAAGGTCAGATCATCATAGCACAGTGATTAGGGAAATGCAAAAAGGATGTAAAGACTAGTATAAAGAATGACTTAGCTTTTAAGTAACTTAATGCATTACTTTAAAGAAAAGTGATATGTGTATTACATTGCTTAAAAAAATAAAAAATAAATAATTCCCCCAACAGAGAAGAAATACCTCCAACGTGCACAAACATTTGACCACAGTGTGCAATAAATTTGCATGTATGTATGTAAAAACATCTTTCCCTTTGATAAAAATAAACACCTGAAGCTTTATCATTTAAATGGTACATGGTAAACACACTGGTACTTATATAATGTCGTTCTACTTAATTTTGAGCACTCAAAGCCTTTTCTAAGTCTCATTCAGCCAATCACACACATTCATACAGTTCTTTTATCTAACATTCACACACTCACACTGCAATTGGTGGCAACTCGGGCTCACAGACATTCCGTCATTCCGACCTTCTAATTGGTAGACATTCCGTTATACCACTTAAACCACAGCTGCCAAGGAAAATCGATATAACAGTGCTGTTTTGAATATAACAACCGTTTTTCTCTCCGTACAGGTCGATCTTCTACGTCAAAAACTTTCTGCAAAGCATCCAGAGCTCGAGATAAAATCAGTGGATGGATTTCAGGGCAGGGAAAAAGAGGCTGTCGTGTTGTCGTTAGTTCGATCCAACAGAAAAGGTAATTCATGACATTCCTTTTAATTCTGTCACAGAATTGCAGATGTTAGCTGCATTAAACATAAACAACAGGCTATCACAATTTTTTTTTTTTCCCACTGATTCCATTTATTTTAGGTGAAGTTGGATTTCTAGCAGAGGACAGAAGGATAAATGTTGCCGTTACGCGTGCAAGACGACACATCGCTGTCGTGTGTGACACTCAAACCGTTCAGAATCACGGTTTTCTGAAATCCCTGATTGATCACATGACTGAGTTTGGTGAGGTCAGAACAGCGTTCGAGTACATTCAAGACATCGTACCACAAAATTACACCCGTGACCACAAAGATGCGAAAACAGCCTCTTCCAGCACCTCCACATCTACCAAACACAAGGTCAAGGATCAGCCCTCCAGTAAAGCAAAGCCAGGACAGAAAAAATCTGCTGGTAGCAGCAGCAAGGAAAATGCAGCTGGTTCAGAGAAGCAAACAAAGTCTAGCACATCAGCAGAGCAAGAGCAGAGTAAGGGCAGACGCGCTGAGATCAGAGAGCAGGTGGAAAGGTTTATGAAGGACTTAAACCAGAGTGAGCTACAGTTTCCGTCATCGTTTAACTCTCATGACCGGCTGCTGGTCCATGAGATCGCTGAGGAGCTGGGCCTCATTCATGAGAGCAAAGGAGAGGGAAGTGAGAGGTGTATCACTGTCTCCAGACCCCCAGTGTCAAAACCAGCCAAAGAGGAAGCACGAGCAGCAACGGAAGAGGAAGAGGAAACGATCCCAGATTCAAAAAGTGAGCCATCGTCTCAACCCCCCTTAGACCTGAAAAGTTTACATTTAGAGAGGATGAAGAGGGAGCAGAAGAAAAGGGAAGAAAACGCTCAACAAAAAAAGCAACAGAACAACATTCATCCAGCTCAAGGCCACTCATCAAAAAAAGCAAAAGGTTTGCATCAGAAGACTCTAAACAAAGCATTTAAAGGTGTTTTCTTACCCATCAGCTTTCTAACAGCTTAACTCTGCATCATGTTTCAACCCCAGGAAAAAATCGAACCAAGGCTGGGGCCTGCGACATTGCTGCTGCCTCTGCTCCAGATGACGACTTCGACACACTCATCAGTAGTGTCATGAAGGCCGACAGTGTTTGTAGTTTTGTCAAGTGCAAAGCATCTGTGCTAACACTCGGGCAGCTCTGCCTGTTCTGTAACAGGCAGTATTGTCTCAGTCATCATATACCAGAGGTAAGAGGCACGCCTCAACTGAGTAGTATGTTTGACGTGTAGGTTAACAGGTAACACCTGCCAAGCATCTGTGGAATTTATGTTTTTTTTACGTGAAAGTCTGATTGACGTCTTGCAAATATTTTTCAGGTTCACGGTTGTGGAGATAAAGCCAAGTCTCATGCTCGAATGAGGATAAGTAAAGAGGGTGTTCTTTATGCTGGGAGTGGGAAGAAAGACAAATCTATGGACCACAATAAGAAGGCCTATCTGCAAAGAAAATTGGACTCTAAGCTAAAAGACATGGCGTCACAGAGGAAGCCAAAAAACAAAGAGAAGGATGGTTAATGGTTAACTTGACACTAAATTTAAATAAATCTAAAGACTTCGTTCTGAGAAAGCTAAAAGAGTGTTTGAAATTTTTTATTTTCTTGCTCTTTGGACCTCAGTTTGATACAGTAAAGTACAATTTCCTGCTGAAAAACTCTTATTTAAATAAATAATTTTAATTACAAAACATTTTCATTGTGTTTCAGTCACAATATTTATTGCATACATTACTAGTACTGTTATGACACGTAATGGAGCCTGCCTTTTAACTCTACAGAAATGGGAAGCTATTCTACTTTCACTTTGATTATCTGGGGACAGATTGTCAATGGACTCGCGTTTTGCACATCCTTACACAATCCGGGGGGAAAGTAGGGGAAAACCTTCTCAGTAAATTTGTCTTTGAATGTGTGGATCTTTGTAGAATCTGCAGCATTGATGAAAACGACTTTTCCCCTGTCATAGTCCAGCTCGACTGTAATCCTGTTGGGCTTCTCCTTCATTGGGAGCTTGGAGCGAGATATGGTCTGTGCCCACAGTGAGTCTCCATTGCTCAAGCCAATTACCCAGAAACCCTCAGCAGGGCTGAGGAAGATGGTATTCTTTCTTTGGATGGAGTCTAGAGCCACTCCGATGTACCAGTCTTTGCCTTGGCCCACATCTAGAGTCCAGCTGTGCTTTCCAGATGTAAAACCAGTGGCTCCCAGCACAGAAATACGGCTGACAAGGCGTTCGGGATTGTTGGGTAGGAGCTTCTTGCTGCTGTATTGCACACAGGACAGTTCTTCAGAGTAAGTTGAAATGGGCAGTGTTTGGATCCAAAACAACAGGAACTGGAAACCATAAAATTCAGTTAGTTGAAAATATGATAGATTTAGAGTAAAATCTTTTTCTTTAACCCACCACATCTGACAATGTCTTCCACCTTCTTCCAAATGTGAAAACTAAGTGATCCCAGATGCTTTGCAGAGTTTATCAGGATATCTCTGATGACCTCTGGCTCTCCAATTTTCCACTGAAGCCTGAAACATGTTAAGTTGTTACAGCATTCTCTCATGGAAAGGATCAATGCTGATTTTAACAGATAGTGGGTTATGCTTACATTTTCTTTGTCTTCTTGTAGTCCTTAAGTTGAAGAGAGAATGTGAAAGAGAGTACATTATGAAATCATGTGTGAAATAGAGTTGCACATCTGGAAACGGCTGAAAGTATTAAACCTGTACAGTAATTCAAAGACACACATATGTGCACTACCGTTCAAAAGTTTCAGTTTTGTATTGCAATTCAAGTCGTTCAACTCCAATGAATAGCTTGAAATGGTACAAAGGTAAGCGGTGAACTGCCAGAGGCTAAAAAAAGATAAGGTTACCCAAAACTAAAAAATAATGTACATTTTAAATGTATACAAAAAGGCCTTTTTTTCTTTCTTTTTTAGGAAACACAAAATGCTTTAACAATTTAAAGCTGTTCTGCAGTAATAGAGGTTGATCAAGCCTTGAAAGTTGGTGCTGTTATTTCCTACAAGTGTTCCAACTTTTCTGGATTACTTACAACCCCCTCTGTCTGTGAGCAGACCATGGAAGCTAACTATGGCATCAGAATAAAACAAAGAGGCTTGCCTGGGCCGTGAAACACCACTGCCATCAAGTAGGCAAAAGGATGGTTCCACAGTGTTTGCTCTAGGTAAATCAATGTGTTCCAGGACTCGTGTGTGATTGGTTACTGGGAGACCCGTGCCAACCCTCACTTATGCAGAATGAAGTGTGCCAGACCACACGGACGATTGGCTGCCCCGGGATCCCATGATGCTCCAAGAGGCAATCAGTGGCTGATCGTACCCACCTGTGGCTACAAAAGGCTGGAGGTCCTTCACTCAGTGGCGGCTGCTTAGGACTGAACATGCAGTTTGCCCTTCATGCCTCCCTCGTCGATCTTTGTTGACCTTATTCATATTGCTGACCTTTGTCGAACCTTGGTGCATGCTTTAAACCTAGCCTGATTAGAGTTTTGAGCTGCTAGCTGGCTGTGAGTAGGATTGCGTGAAGCTGGCTTGCCTTAGTTAAAACCCTAGCTTTTATTTTGTGTGCGGCCAGCCTGCCTTAGTTACCCTTTAACTTTTACTCGTGACTGTTCTTTCTTTATGTAATAATTGTCTGCCCAGTGGTCTGTTGCACAGCCCTGTCGGTTTTCTGTTTAAAGTTTGGAATTAAAACCTTTTGCTTTACTCAGTTTTGTGTTGGGGGGCTCGTGTATGTTACTCCCTCCCTGACGCCTAGCAGAGGGGGTCGTAACACGCTCATTGACTAACAACTTGTCAATCACAAACTGTTACTTCCTTTCTGACAAACAGTATAACCAAGATGTATGAAATTAACTCCTTTTAAAAATTTAATATGACCCTAAATATGTAACTGAGACCATGAACTCAACAGGAAAGTGTTAACAGTGGTAAAGGTAGAAAACGATATTTCTATAGACTTCAATGGGTCCCGAAGTCTTTTTGCAATCACAGGGATCACCCCCTGGTGGCCATTAAAAAGAACGCAGGCACATTGAAGTCGGCCCCACTTGTCAGACGCTACATGTGTCTTTAAAACTGACCATACTGATTAACCAATACAGCATACTAACATTTTACATCCAGACTATGGAAAATAGGTCTGTGAGAAATGCTTGTCTGACATTTTATGTTTTAATCCAAACTAATCCAAGTTTGAATCCAAGAAATCTAAGAAATACGAAATTTCAAATTTAATAAATAAAGTTGGTAAACATTTTATGCAAAATATGATTTTGGTTAATATTCAGTAATTTTCTTGTTTGCATGTATACTAACTAAATACTTTTAATTTTACTGTTTTGTATGCTGTGTGTTATATTGATGTTCATTATCACCTGGGCGTCCTGTTTAGCCATTTTCACTGTTTACTTGACTGTTTTTAGGAAAAATAACTTAGAAGTTAATATAAATAAAAACAGCTTGTAAATAATGATAGTAAATGTACCTGTAGAAGCTGTACATCCTGTGCTTTGAGAGCTGTTTCAATATCATTGATGGTGGAGGAGAGTGTGTTGATCTGCTCTTCAATGTTTTCCAGCTTCATACACATGATTTGAGTCTTAGTTTCCTCCTCCTGTTTCAGTGCCTGCAATCTGGTGTTTTCCTCCTCCTTAAGGAACTGGTGGAGCTTCTTAAACTCTTCCTTGATTCCTGTCTCAGTTTCACATGCCTGCGTCTGTAATTTTAAAGAATGTGGGGGTTTTTTAAGCTAGTAAATGGAAGGAATGTTTGTCATGCTGGGGATTTTTTCGTCAGAAGCAACATTAAAAAGCCCCAGTAAAAGTCAGCATTGTTTCACGAAACGCAAAACCATTTACCTGGATATGGGTTTTTATTTCCTCCCATTGTTCCTTTGTGTTGATTAGTACTTTGAGTTTTTTCTTTAAGGACTCGAGGCTGGCTGAGATTTCTGTCTGAAATGTACGAAGAAGAATTTTAAAATATAGCATTTCTGTGTAGTTCCTGATAATCAGTTTTCTTTGTGGTTTTGTTTAATATCACATTGAATTAAAATTGTTAATTATTTGAGTCATATTGGGTGCACTCATTTCACTATTTTCTTACATTTTACAGACATAAGAATAATGAGAATTCGTGGAACAAATGACACATTACGTGATGATGGAAGTCATTAATTAAAGATCTGTTTCTTACATTGTGATGTAAGTCTACCAACAACTTCATCCCAGTATTAGTTTTTTTAAATGTATATTTTTACAAACCTTTTTCTGTTCAGCTGCTTCTTCTACTGGGCAGCAGACATGGACTTTGTGCTCTTTCGATTGTTGGCAGACAAGACAGACAAGCTCTTCATCATTGTGACAAAAACTATTCCGCTTCTGGTTGTGGAGAAAACATTTGTCTTGATTAGTTGTGGACATAACTGAGATCCTTTCTGTTTCCAGTTAAATAATCACACTCTGCAAACAGTGGTGCACTTCCCTGGCTGAAGGCTCAGGTGTTTCTGTCAAGTGATGTTCTTTGATTCAGGTATTGTGACAGTAGGCGGTACAACTGGGAATATTTACAGCTTCCTGTAGAAGTTGGCCAACTAGTATAACTGGGTAATCATGCAAGTCATCCAGACATAACCAAAGATGATATAGATGCAGAAGTTGACTAATGTCCTCGATACATGCTTAAAAATAAAAAATAAAAAAGTTCTCAGAAACTTTACGTTCATTTCCTTTATTTTAATAATGTGCCTGTTCTGTTTGAGTTTAAAATCATGAATGAGAAATGGCTGAATTAATCTTACTGATGTATCAGCTACTGATAACCATTGCAGCTCGTGTTCCGATTATTTATCTTGTTCCCCATTTCATCTACTGACTGCAAAAATATAGAGCCTGCACCATGAACATGGCTGCTTTATAATAACATAATAAACAATTTTAACAAGTTTATATAAAAATGTATTTCTAAATATTGAGCATACAGGCAGCCTTGTGACAACACTCTGACTCCCAGACAAACATGGCCCAAATACCCCAAGTTTAACGCTTTGGTGTCTGATAAATACGCAAATATACCTAAAAACAAAAAAACAAATACACTCATCTATCCATCCATCCATCTTCTTCCACTTATCCGGGGCCGGGTCGCGGGGGAAGCAGCCCAAGCAGAGAAGGCCAGACCTCCCTCTCTCCAGCCACCTCCTCCAGCTTATCTGGGGGAACACCAAGGCGTTCCCAGGCCACCCGAGAGATATAATCTCTCCAGCGTGTCCTGGGTCTGCCCCGGGGCCTCCTCCCGGTGGGACATGCCCGGAAAACCTCGCCCAGGAGGCATCCTTGTCAGATGCTCAAACCACCTCAGCTGGCTCTTTTCGATGTGGAGGAGCAGCGGCTCTACTCTGAGCCCCTCCCGAATGGCCGAACGTCTCACCCTATCTCTAAGGGAGAGGCCGGCCACCCTTCGGAGGAAACCCATTTCCGCCGCTTGTATCCGCGATCTCGTTACATCAAGATGCAGACATCAGAATCAATCAGAATCAGAATCAGAATACTTTATTGATCCCTGGGGGAAATTATTTTTTGTTACAGTGCTCCATTTTAAACCAACATTAAGACAAGACAGACAATACGCTAACTAAGAATAGTACAATATATACATATATATACATACATACATACATAAGTCACTTATAAATAAATATTTGGAAAAGAAACATGTGTAGTTGTAGCAGCAAACAGTGTGTTAAGTGGATGCGTTGTACAGGGAGATGGCCACAGGCAGGAATGATTTCCTGTGTCGTTCAGTGGTGCTTTTCGGTAATCTCAGTCTCTCACTGAACGAGCTCCTGTGACTGACCAACATGTCATGGAGTGGGTGGGAGGTGTTATCCAACATTGTCTTTATCTTGGACAGCATCCGCCTCTCCGACACCACCTTGAGGGAGTCCAGCTCCATCCCCACAACATTGCTGGCCTTACGGATCAGTTTATTAAGTCTGTTGGCATCTGCGACATGCAGACATGCAGTGATGTTTGTCTGCAAAGTTGAGTAATATGACTAGTTGTGGTCCAGGATCTTTGACTACTTTTGATTTCATCTCTACGTTTCACCTTTAAAGAATATTTATCCTCCTTGTTTGGTATCATTCATTTTTTAAGCACAACCTCACGTTTTTCATTTTGACATACTATATTAACACAATTGATCTAAATTCAGACAAAAAACATAAAATCAGCGTAGAAAAAAGTTATATTTTTTACTGTAACAAACACAAACATGTTTAGCGAATCATTGTCATAACTTGAAATGCAAATATAATTGCAAATTTGTAAAGCTTCGACACACTAGGAGACTCTCCAACTACTACAATAACAGGACTACTACAATATTCTTTCCAAAGAGGTGTTTTTCCTCCCCACAGTTGCCAAGTGCTTCCTCATAGGGGATCATCAGATTGCTGGCCTTGTCTCTAACACCTTACAGTATTAGAGACAGGCAGCTGTTGTTTGCATTTGAAGCCATATAAATAAACTTGAATTCAAAATTAAATGAATGGATTTTATTGATTTTTACCTTGTCAGTCCTAGTTTTACTGGATCTCAGTGCAGCATTTGATACAGTTGACCACAACATATTACTCAAACGACTGGAGAACTGGACAGGTCTTTCAGGAACTGTACTAAACTGGTTCAAAACATACGTAGAAAACAGGAAATACTTTGTATCAATAGGTAACTTCACATCTGAGCAGACAAGTATCACATGTGGAGTTCCCCAAGGTTCCATCTTGGGACCCCTTCTGTTTAACATCTACATGCTCCCACTGGCACAGATTATAAACAACAACAAAATAAACTATCACAGCTATGCAGATGACACACAAATATATATCACAATGTCACCAGGAGACCGAGGCCCTGTACAGGCTCTTGGTAAATGCATTGAGGAAATCAATGACTGGTTGTGCCACAATTTTCTCCAGCTAAACAAAAACAAAACTGAGGTAATAGTCTTTGGCGCCAAAGAAAAACGATTACAGGTCACCAGAGAACTTCAATCTATACATCTAAAAACCACAAACCAGGCGAGAAATTTGGGTGTAGTGATGGATGCAGACCTAAACTTAGAAAAACACATTAAGACAATAACAAAGTCAGCTTACTATCACCTCAAGAATATATCAAGGATAAAAGATCTGATGTCTCAACAGGACCTGGAAAAACTAGTCCATGCATTCATCTTTAGTAGGCTTGATTACTGTAACAGCATCTTTACAGGTCTACCTAAAAAATCAGTCAGACAACTACAGCTCATTCAGAACTCTGCTGCTCGAGTCCTCACTAAGACCAAAAAAGTGGACCACATCAGTCCAGCTCTGAGGTCCTTACACTGGCTGCCTGTCCGTCAGAGGATAGACTTTAAAGTTCTGATGCTGGCCTATAAAGCTCTGAATGGTTTAGGACCAAAATACATCAATGACCTCCTGACCCAGTATGAACCATCCAGATCCCTCAGGTCATCTGGATCCGGTCTTTTATCAGTTCCCAGAGTCAGAACCAGACACGGAGAAGCTGCATTCAGCTTTTATGCTCCTTATATCTGGAACAAACTCCCAGAAAGCCTCAGATCAGCTGAAACACTCAGTTTATTTAAATCCAGGTTGAAGACTCACCTGTTCTCAGCTGCATTTGAATAAAGCACCAAATCCACACTTTAAGCTTAAATTTCAAAACTTACACTAACTACTGATCTTATCTATTGTTCTGATTTTATCTGTTTTGATTTTATATACTGTTTTGTTTGTTTGTTAAGATTAAATTTCAAAACTTACATTTAACTACTGATTTTATCTACTGTTCTGATTTTATCTGTTTTGATTTTATATACTGTTTTGTTTGTTTGTTTGTTTGTTAATTAGTTAGTTAGTTTATTTGCTTGTTTTAATCAATTTTAAATCATGCTTTTTATTTGTTCTTGTTTCTAATGTCTCTGTAAAGCACTTTGAATCACCTTGTTGTTGAATTGTGCTATACAAATAAACTTGCCTTGCCTTGCCTTGCCTTCACGGAAATCCTTTTACTTCAGTTTTGTGTTGTGCTGCAATAATAGTTTGTCAGTTAATCATCCTGCCCCTGGCATGTCTGACTCCACACAGAAAAGCCTCAGGCTTTTAAACCGGAAACGTTTACGGTGATGTCACAGAACAACACACCTGCAGCCCACACATAAGATAACCTTTTTCCACTATTCAGGAATTGACAGCACTAATAAGAGTGTCTGAGTGCTTACCAGCATGGCTTAGTTTCCTAATATGTGCTGTCACAGAAATGTCATTAACCTTTACACTAGATGCCAGCTATTTCATGTTGTTTGTTGGTTTCTTCTACATATGGAAGTATCCTTGGGTAAGATACTGAAGCTTTACTTTTCCAACCTCTGTTGCACAGTTAGATGAATAAAACATTTTATTTTAAAATCTAAAAATGGTTTTTATTTTTACCTGTCCTTGCCTGTCATAGTGTGTGCTAGAAATACTTGAAAAGGGAAACTATAAATATTCAGAGAGAGAACCTGTCTCGCTTCTTGTTTTCT